AAATTTAAGGCAGCTTTGGGTTATGTTGAAGCTATCTCTGTACATCACACTGCTTTCTCCAACCATCTGCTGAGTTTTCACAGTGAATCTTCTTTTATCTGTGTTTTTTCCTCCTCCTTTTTGGCTTTCATTAGCAAAGTTCTATACTCAAAGGATGATTGATTAATGAATCTACCAAAGACACGCCCTTTGCTTTCCCTCTAGTCGCCAATCAAGTCCTGAGTGGAGGGTAAACATTTTTCTACTCTTCAGACATGAAACCAAAATATTTCTATTTTCACATTACAACATTTTGATGTGAAAAATGGCATTGTTTTTCTGAATGAACATTACTTGTCAACTTATTTGTTAATAGTTAAATGCAAATATGAATACCTTAGCACCATGTTCAAAATCCCTCAATAGTTTTCCTTTAATTTGGGATAAAGCACAAAGCCCCTGACCTGACCTCTAGACCCCCTGTGATCCCACCCAGGCTGGCCTCCCAGGCCCCATCTGGCTCCTCCTGCTTCTCTCTTGACATGCCAGCTACATTTACCGTGTTGAGATTCTCCAGTGACCTAGCTCTCTGATAACCTAGGTCCTCCAGTGAAGAAGGCCCTCTGGATGGCAGGTGTCCACAGGCATCGCCTTGTTAGAAATGAAGACCCTCAGGCCCCACCCAGACCTCTGACACAGAATCTGCATTTTATCAAGACCTCCAGGAGATTCACAGGCATTAAAGTTTGAGAAGCTCTGATCTGGGCCTCCTCCCACTTTGGTGCTTTGCTCTGTTTTCACTTGGCTCCTCCCTGACCTTTGCCTAGTAAGATTTCTCATCAGATTTCACCTTAAAGTGGGGAGTTAGGTCCAGGTCTGAATGTGAGCCACACTTTGCATGAGGAGGACAACCTTCCTGGGGTTGGCTCCTGAAGAGAATCTAGAACTCTGGCCTCGTTAAAATCATGTATGTTTAGCTCACACAAGACCATGCTAGTCAATGCACTCAGAGTATCAAAATTTATAGATAAACTGGAGTTTGCATAAACATGTCAGAAGTGCCATCTGTGGTAAAAAGTAGCAGTATAAAAGTGGAATTTCAAGTGGTGAAACCAGCACCCTCTACAGTGACTTGAAGTTCATGATTTCAGAGTCTGTAACACCCTGTGGGTCAACCTGGACTTCTCACACATGTCCAAGTCCACAGTGCCCAGAGGAACAGCTTAGCTTTGTCCTAAAGGGAATCCTTGGGCGTTGTCAGGGGAATTTTAGTTCTTCACTCTTTCCTCTTCTGGCAAAAGCACACAATTGTACAATTGGTTGACTCATGTTCAGAGCAAATTAATATAAACCACATTTTCCTGAGCTGGGTAATGAAGGCTCCAAAGTGAATCAGTGTGCAAAATCTGCTCCCTATATTATTGTCATTCCTGTGCTGTTGTACATTTTTCTACTTTAGAAAGCCTAACACTGAAAGGATCTCCACAATTTCTTAACAGGTACTTGTAAGAAAGAATGATTTCTATAATATTCATTATTTTTTTAATAGAAAGTCAAAAATGCTGTTAAATTTATAAAAATTTTGATTTGGTTTACAGGTTACCAAATAGCCAGTTGAAATGGAAAATAGTGCATAATCTGTTTTATTTTATTATTGTGAGGAAAATCTAGATATGCAAAATAGCTATTGGACTGAATGGTGCTCTTTAATGATATTTAGTTACCTGGTTAGCATAACTATAATGATTCCATAAGATAATTTTTGGTAAACTAGAACCTTAATTTAAAAGTGGATTTAAGGATTCAGGTCATCACGATTCCTACATAAGAAAACTTTCTGAGGATTCTATTTAAGATATTTATTCCATTTAATTAACCACATTCTCTGATTAAGCTTTTAAGTTAAATCCTTTTACTATTAACCTCCCTGCCTTTCATTCACTTCTGACAACAATTTAATTGAGTATTTTATATATATGTAATTTATAATATAATATAAATATACATATACATATAGAAAAGAAGAAAAATGCAGAAAATGTCCCTCCACTGCTCTTTCCAACTCTACAACACAATAAGTACCCCCACATTGAATTTGAGAGGTTCTGATTATTTAGTGATATGAGATTCATGGAAGGAAGCCCATTCCAAATAAAAATACATTTAACAACAACAATTATTGGCATTGGTTATTTGTATTGCCTGAATTATGTTCCAGTTTTTGGCTCAATTTTATTCTGCTAATAAAACTGGTGGAGAAGAAAGTGCTGCCAAGTAAAACCAGCAGGATTTCTAGAGAAAGACAGTTCTAATAACGGTAATAACAAAGATAAAGCAAATTTTAAATATGGAAAGAACTTACAGGAACTGCTAGTATATTTACGAAGAGTACAAAGTTTCTAAGGTAAAATTTAAAATGAAAATCTCTTTCATACACAAATTCCATAGGAAAATAAACTTGGAATTTTGACTAAAATAGAAAGAAAGGATTCCCGGTGTTGACACTTTTAATGAAAACCAGGGTTAAGACAAGCACTCTCCCCCAACCTCTGAGACTCCCGTCCCTTCCCCTCAGCCTTTCAGTGACTTCCTCTCTCCCTCTTCCTGGCCTAGTCTTTCCTACACTGACCATCTCTGTTATTCTCTACCTTCTTTTCTTCCTGCCTCTTGTTTCCTTTTCACCCACCAAATTTCCCATTCCACTTCCTTCCCCTCTATCCTCTCAATGCCTTCCTCTCTCTTGTGAAAACTCTCATGAGATTGTTCTGCAGGAGGAAAATTCAGATCTGTCCATGGACAGTGGACAGGTGCCAACTGTTGTCCACGTCTTGCAGAACTCTGTTCATTCTCCTACTGCACTGCCCCTTGTTTCCCACTCACTTCTCATTATTCTCTGACGTCAATTTAACACAAAATGGAAACTGCTCTCATGAAACTTACTAAAATCTTTTAATTTTTCCACCCTTAATGAAATATGATCACTCCTTATCCTACCAGAGCATTTATTTCTCTTTTGGCACGGTACTTCACGTTGTCCTTGAGTATTTTCCTCTCTTTAAGTCCACAACACTCAGGTATCCAGTTCCTTCTGCTTTTCTGACCACTCTGCTCATATCCTTTTCTGTCGTTCCCTTGTCTCCTTTTGTGTGAGCTGGTGCTCCTGGTTGCAAGAGGAAATCAATTCATTGAATGGAAATTGGCTCTAACATAGAAATGCTAGGGAAGTTGGAGAAATCCATTGGAGAAATAAGAAATACAAAGAAATAAGGCAGCCAGTGAACAACCAAAATCATATCCCAACTCTAGCTCAGTAAGAGCTGCCGTTGGGGCCCGTCCGGTGGCACAAGCGGTGAAGTGCGCGCACTCCGCTGCCGTTGCCCGGGGTTCGCCATTTCGGATCCTGGGCCTGCACCGTCACAATGCTTGGCAAGCCATGCTGTGGTGGCGTCCCATATAAAGTGGAGGAAGATGGGCACGGATGTTAGCTCAGGGCCAGTCTTCCTCAGCAAAAAAAGAGGAGGATTGGCAGTTGTTATCACAGGGCTGATCTCCTCAAAAAAAAAAAAAAAAAAAAAAGAGCGCCACAGCTCACACTGACAATGCCCTTGTTGTGGGTGCAGGATGCATTTTCTGGGTTTTGGTATTGCTTCCTTGGTTGACTTTGCCACCAAAATTCTCTTTGTCCACATTTGACCCCATGTCTCCATCTCCCCATATTTCAAATCCAGTGTAGGTGGGTTTGAGTGGTTAATCCTAGATCAAGTCCCCTACTCTAGGTGCTAGGGGCATGGGAAAGTCAGCTTCTAGAACTTCTCTCTTCTACCATGGTGACAGCTTTTTTTTTTACCACCAAGACTCACGTGGTAGGAAGAAGATCAGATGTTATCCATCTAATAAATTATGTATATCCATTTTGTAATGTCTTTAATTTAAGATCTTCAAGTTTCTATCCATTCCCTCCTTTTTACCATCTGCTCACTCTCCAATGGTTAGGAATCCATAACTATGCTTTCAGCCACCACAAATGTCCCTAAGTCATTACTTATATTAAGCTCTTATAGACTCACACTACCAAGCACATCTCTCCTGGATGTTCAGAGGATGCTCTCTTCATCAACTGGCCAATGCACCTGAGTTCTCAATCTCAATTTTTGATGACCGCCTTCCAGTCACCTAGTGATCTTCTTCACTGACCACCCCTTCTCATCTAATATGTCACCAAGTCCTAGTGACCCTACATTCTCCTTTTTAAAAATCTCTCTCTTTGTCATCCTCACCACTCCCAACGTGATATCACACGTGGACTCTGAAGTGCAGAAGCATTTTAATCTACTGGGGAGCATTTATAAATGCACATTGTTGGACCTCATTCTTAACCTACTGAGTCAATTTCTAGAGTAATACCTCAGAATCCATATTTTGCACAAGAAACTCCCCCAAACAATTCTGATGTGTAATCTGGTTCGGGTCCTGGATAATAATATCTGCTTCCTCACAGTATCCCTGAAACCAGGTCCTCCTCCCTGAAGCCTATGTATACAACCAAATATTTAATTTAAAAAATATCTGGTGATGCCACTCCTCATCTTAAAAGTTTTCAGTGTTTTCCTATTGGTTGAAGAATACGTTTCAAGATTTTTTACATGGCTTTGAATTCGTTTTATAATCCAGGCTCTTCTAATATCTTTACTTTTCATGCTGCAACCATGTCCTACACGTAGATTTCCCTATCTCATTCAATAGTTTCCGTGTAAATATGCTCATGTTTAGAATGTCTTTCTCCTCTTCTAAATCTATTCATTCCAACACATATTTTGAACTGAAACAATTGCACTTTTCCAGTATAAAAATGCCTGCTAATTGTTTCCATGTATTATAGAAAGAGCAAATAAAATTAGGGGCATTCAGACTAGTGCATGCTTTTATTTCAATTACCCCCAAGAAATTTTCTTTTATAAATCCTTGATAAATTTTCATTTTACTTTGACTGCATTTCATTTCAGGGGCCATCTTTTAAGGATATGGAAACTGAAAATGCAACATTGCTGACAGAGTTTGTTCTCACAGGACTTACTTATCAACTAGAGTGGCAAATCCCCCTGTTCCTGGTATTCCTGGTTGTATATTTCATCACTATTGTGGGGAATCTTCTTCTGATTGCACTCATCTGCAATGACCCTCACCTTCATATTCCTATGTACTTATTCCTTGGGAGTTTGGCTTTTGTGGATATTGGGTTATCATCCACAGTGGCCCCCAAGATGCTAGTCAGCTTCCTAGCCAAGAGTAAGATCTCTCTCTCTGAATGTATGATACAATTGTTTTCCTTTGTATTCAGTGCAACCACAGAGTGTTTTCTTTTGGCAGCAATGGCATATGATCGCTACGTGGCCATATGCAAACCTTTACTTTATCCAGGGATTATGACCAATAGACTATGCATCCGACTGTTAGTCTCATCATTTGTTGGTGGCCTTATTCATTCCACAATTCATATAGGTGTTTTATTCAGGTTAACCTTCTGTAATTCTAACATAATACATCACTTTTACTGTGACATCATGCCATTGTTTAAGATTTCCTGTACTGACCCTTCAATTAATGTTCTGATGGTATTTATTTTCTCTGGGTCAATACAGGTGTTCACCATTCTAACTGTTCTTGTCTCTTATACACTTGTTCTCTTTACAATCTTAAAAAGGAAGTCTGTACAAGGCATCAGGAAAGCCTTCTCCACCTGTGGTGCCCATCTATTATCTGTCTCTTTATACTATGGCCCTCTTCTCTTCGTGTATGTGCACCCTGAATCCGCACTGGGAGACGACCAAGATATGATGGACTCGCTATTTTACACTGTCATCATTCCTTTGTTAAATCCAGTTATCTACAGCCTGAGAAATGAAAAAGTAATAAATTCACTGGCATAAATGTTAAAGAGAAATGTTTAGATCTCATACTAATATCTGTTCTCTTTTTATTAGAACAGTCACAAAATTGTGCTGATTAGATGTTTCTATGTGTTGATTAGTGTTGTAAGTTTTTACAATTATAATTGTCCTATTATTTTAATAACTTAAGGTGTTAGTACCTAATAAAATCCTTAAGATATTTGTATATCTTATTCAAAAACACACAAGGAATTTCAATCAAATATTAATATCATATTAAAATAACTAAAGCAGAAAACAAAATAGAAACATTGTACATGCTTGTATACTCTTCGATGTGGCTTTCTAAATGCATTTATTAAGGAATTGTTAAGTGGTAAAATAGTGTCGTAGCTTTAATAATAATACAGCTGGGCAGCCTGGAGACTCATATCACGTTTAACTCCACAGTGGAGGCAGGTCTGTGTTTGAGTGAACAGAGGCAAATCCTAGGAATTCTGCTAGTCACCAAATGTCTTTCATTCCACTTTATTTGGGACATGGTGAATTTCACTCCTTGTGGGGATTCAACTCTCACGTCACACATAGACATAAACAGAATTGGAAAGCAATGAGGAAAACACCAGAAATGAGTTAAGACAGAAGACAGTGCCAAACTGTAAGAGCTGGCTCTTATCTGAGGTGCTTCTATGAGGAGCTAGAAGAAGTGTGTTGCCTCTCAGTGTCTATGATGGCTTTGTATCTCTGTTTGTATGCTGATGGGTAATCTGGAAAGCTTCACTAACGCAGAAAGCTGACATATTAAATTGAAGAACTAAGTTGAGATGGGTGTAGAGAAGAAGAGAGAAGTGTCAAAATAGAAAGGAAATGATCTCAATCTTCCTAGAATTTAAAAAATATGCAACTAGTAAGATAAAGAAATCAGTAATATGTAAAGTTTATTGGAGTGTGTGGTTGACAAGGAGGGGCTTTAAATGTATGGTACCAAAGTTCACATGATGTTAAGATGATATTATGTTGTAGTGCCCAGTGGGTGGCTGGAGAAGACATGAAAAGGAGCCAGAGTTTGGATGTTTTGTGAGCTGAAAGTCCTTGAAAGGTAGCTTCCCTCACACTCCATGCTATTTATGTATAATAAGTGATCCATTATCAGGTCCTTTCTGCCCTTCCTTTCTCAACGCTGTGTCCATACACATCTCACTGACACCACTGAGGCCCTCACTCTGAAAACAACCTGCCTCTGTGTTTTGTAAACCTCTAGTTATTTACCCCTTTCATCCTGCTGATGTTCTCTTACTTTCCAAACATAACATAGATTAATCTTCGTAAACAGGACTCTGATTAAATCATATCCCTCTTCAATAACTTTTAATGAATTGTCATTGCTACCAAATTATACAAATATATGGTAAACATATCTAGAACTGTATATAGACATAGGTATATGATTATTTCTTCATATGTATGTAGAGATTATATGATATATAAATACAGGTGCATTTATATAGACATGTATCAGTTAACGATGGGGATACGTTTTGAGAAATGTGTTCTTAGGAGACTATGTCATTGTGCGAACATCGTGGAGTGTACTTACACAACCTGGATGGTACAGCCTACTACACACCTAGGCTATATGGTACTAATCATATGGGACCACCATCATACGTGCGGTCTGTCGTTGACTGAAGTATCGTTAATTAGGCCATGATTGTACCTATATATACAGATTATATGATATATAATCACATATTTAAATTTCTATTTCACTGTGTATTTGTTCACCCTGGCATTATTTGAGATTCTTTCAAATAAAACCTTGGTTTAATTCTGAAGTCTATCCTCCACACTTCTCCTAAGGGACTCTGTTATACCGAATTTGAGTATTGAGGCCTCCGGACAAGCCTCACTCTCTCAGGCTCAAGCTTTTGCTCAGATGAGAATCTCCACAGGGAGTCCTCCCACTCAACCCCTCTATTCAGTTAAAATTGAAACAGTATCATATCTTCAAGGTCTCTCAAATCTTACAACTACCCTGATGTATTTCCAGATTACTTCTAAGAAGATAAGAATGTTCACCCTTTTCAAATTTTTAGTCATTTACTTACTCTTCTTAGGCCATACTTGGCCTTCTGGAATACATAGTTTTGGCCTAGAAGCTCTTTTAGGTTACAATTTAAAAGTCTTTCTATCTTCTGGTGTATGTAGCCCAGTGGCTTACACACATGAGGTCCTAAATAAGTATTCGTGAAATATTTGTAAAATTAAATTAATATGACAGCACAAATACATAGATAGAATGCAGTAAAAGTGCATCACTCTTTTTCAATCTTGTAATGACCCCAGGAGACACTGGGCCTGGGATGGCTGCTGCCTGCCAGCTGAGCTTTCTGAGTTTCTTTCATGATAATCCCAAACATCATACATCTAAAGTGATTTATTCTTGATCTTCTTATCAGTAGGATTGGCCCCTAGGATAGACTGTGACAAAATATCAGGGAGAAATCTCTTCATTAGAAGTTTGTCTTAAAGATAAAAAACACATAGGCATTTAAAACAAATATCACTGCTCTACACTCCTGGAGGTCCAGTTCACAAGATGAGACCAGGTCATCTGCTTTCTTTTTGTTCCTCTGAGGGATTCCCCCCCACCAGCCCCAGTAAAGGAAGTGAACTGATGATATTTCAGTTGCTTTTCCTCTTTCTCCCTAAAGAATCATTGTTATTGCATATGTCCATAGTTTGCTAACTGTTATTACTATACAATATTTCCACTTTTCAAATGGTTTCCTGTCATTTGTTTATATCTTTGCTTGTCCGTACAGTGTTATGACCCAAAAACTGATTGAAAATGTAAGCAACTGGTGTGTATATATTCGACCATAATAAAGGGCTGTTTTCTAATGGATACTTTTTTTTGAATGAGAAGCTTGACACCAGTGGGAAGGCAGCTGTCTAATAGCCAGGAAACAAGCTCTTCACCATGTACAGTATCTGCTGGCGCCTTGATCTTGAACTTTCTATCCTCCAGAAATGTAGGAAATAAATGTCTATGGCATAAAATGCACTATGAAAATATTCTAAAAGTTTCCACCCTTTGTTTATACTTTCCTCCCAGTTTTACAAAGCAGGAGGCAGATAGGGCCTCTGTCTCAAAGCATGAAATCCTGTGGACTTTTTATAACTTTTTCCTGGGAACCATGATTGACAGTGATAATAGCCAATCAAAATCTTATTGTCTCATGTCAGTTAGGTTAATGGCAGGCATCACTATTCTTTTTCAAGAAAATTAGTTATCGAGGTGGATCAGCTTTTGGAAAATTATTTTCAAAGAAATTTCATATATAAGATGTCCCTTGAGCTGTAATTATGTCATATTTACTGCTTCTGAGAAGATACCTTTCAAATGAGGGCACTAGCGAATAGTCACATCATGATAGTTCCTTTGTTTTGAAGTATAAAGCAAGCAGTTCCCTAAACGTACAGTGAGTTTTTGTATTAGTGTGGTCCAGAATAACAGAACTAACAGGATATATAGATAGAAGTATATCTATATCTACATCAAGTATAGATACATAAAAATCTATCTATATCTATATCAAGACCTTTATCATAAGACATTGGCTCACATGATTATGGAGGCTGAGAAGTTCCATGATCTGCCCTCTGCAAGCTGCAGGCCCAGGACAGCAAGTGTCTTAGTTCAAAGGCCTGAGACAGGAGAGCCAATGGTACAGATTCCTATCTGAGTCTGAAGTCCTGAGGACCAGGATTACCAGGCGCAGGAGCAGATCAATGTCAACCAGTCAAACAGAGACTGAGGTCAAGTGTTTTCTGCCTTTTCACTCCATTCAGGCCCTCAACACATTAGATGATGCCACCCACATCAGAGAGGGCCACCTGCTTTACTCAGTCCACCTATTCAACATCAATCACTTCTGGAAACACCCTCACAGACACACCCAGAAATAATGTTAAACCAGATACCTGGACATCCCACGGCTGAGTGAAGATGACACACAAAATTAAGCATCACAAGTCCACCCCATGTCAACTTGGCACCCACCAAAATTCCTTAAGCCGTACTTACTCTCCAAATAAAGACAAAAGCAAGGTCATAATTCCAACTAACATGACACAACTATGCTGCATACAACTGAAAATGCTCTATACTCTTCCCCAGAAGGGGTGGTAAAAATTTTGAGTGATATTTACTCTTCTCCTTGATATCTGGTGACTTAAATACTATGATGTCAAATTAGCAACTTAAATACTATAACATAAGCTCAGTACAATTTGTGTTGCATTAAAAGGCAATAAGATTGGAAAAGAAACAAATATATTTGCTATACACACACACACACAAATGTATTCACATCAAACTAAGAATGAGCTTCTCATAGCAATTATAGTCCTCATTTTTGTAACTGGTCACGTGGTCATAGCTGGTATTTTAAACTGTGTTCTTCCACCACCCATTCCATATTCCCTTTGCCTTCGGCAAGCACCTCAGCTGGTCATTTTTTTTTTCCTGGTGGGGTGACCCAAACCTTCATTTCTGAAGAGTCTGGGCCATTAGAACTCCTGTCTGGATTGGTTTGTTGAGGTTTACCATTGACCTTAATCGTAGGGAATGACATACTAAGAGATGCTCTAAGGGGTCTCCTGTATTCCGGACATACTCTTCCTAAGTTGTGGACTACTAGTCAAATTTCGCCTTGGAGAAAGGATTAATCACCCCAGTCATCATGGTAACTGACTTTGTCTAGTGATTCAAAGGAATGTAGAGCCCAAAGGGACTGAATGGCAGTCTAAACTTCAAGCTCAATGGAATTATTGCTGTGTCTCCTGGTGGAAGCATTCCTCCCTTTGGAAGTAAGACCACAAGACCAGCAGAGCATAAGGTCATGGGAACAGGAGACAAACATTTTGATAGTGGGTCAGTAGGGGTTACAGTAACTGGTGCCGCTCCCATATGCACTCCTTGATTCCTGGACTTGTGAAACCTGGCAATGGAAGAAACAGTACCGTATATTGGA